GTCCCTGCGCCGGGCACAGTGGTGGGTGAAGACGAACAGGCCCAGGGCGGAGGCCGCCACCCCGTACAGGCAGCTGCACACCACCCGGGGCAGCCAGCGCTGGGACACGGCCAGAGCCCCGCAGGCCCACATGGCTAGGTACAGGAAATGCGTGGTCACCAGCGCCCCCAGCTGGACTCCCGGGGAATAGAGACTGTCACCGTCCTCCGGGGGCCCGGGCGGCACCGCACCTGAGCTCCCTGTAGCCAGAAGGGAACCTGAGTCACTCAGGAGGGGGCCGCCGCTCCTGAGCCTGGAGGAACCCCTCAGCTCCTCCCCTGGCTCCAGGGAGACCCTGCTGTTGCCCGCTTTGGAGCTCCGTGCCAGAGGGCCGCGTAAGTGCAGCCCTGCACACAGGAAATAGATCCAGGTGATCAGCAGAATCAATGCCACTGGGATGTAGAAGGCTCCTAGGCTTGGACGCCACACCAGCCAGCAGCTGCGGAGAGACACAAGGCAGGGGGTGAGGAGCGGGGACAGGTCGGAGGTGGAGGAAATAAGATAACAGCAGGTGGAGAGGCAGAGATGGGCTTAGTCTACATGCATGGGCTGGGTTGGGTCACCGGCTGGATGGACCCTGGGAGGTACCACTGCCAGTGGAATGGAGGCGTCTGGTGCAGGTGGGCAGGTTTGGGGACAGCAGGAGGGAGCAGTGCTCACTAGGGGCTGTGGTCCTGGTAGTTGTGGATGTTGACGGCAGCCGTGATGCCACAGATAATGAGTGGGATCCCTCCAGCGATCAGATAGAACCTGGAGCAGAATGGGGGTTTGGGGGTGAGAGACGGGGAAGGGGAAGAGAAAAGTGAGGTACTCAGAAGCCTTGACCAGGCATCTCGGTCCCATTCTCTTTCCCCTTCAAATTCTGTCAGAATTTTTTGCCAGAGATACAGGGCCCCTACAGGGCAGGCCTGGTAGGTCCCTTGGGGACTTGGCCAAGACTGTTCTAAGAGATGTGGGGACAGGCCAGAATTGCTCTCTCTCACCTGAAAGTGTAGAACTCGGGGCATCACTCAGGTCCCTGGGATCCCTACCCAATGCCTTTGGAGTCAGCGCCTCCCCTAACCCTATCATGCCCCCAAAGCCTGCAGGATGCACCCACTCCATGGCCCCGTGTAACTTGGTTGCACTCAGGGCCTGGCCTCTTCTGTCTTTGCAAAGTGATTTCCCAGGGACCTGGACCCACCCTGCGTCCACTCTGGGAGGTGTCCTACAATCTCCTCTGAGTCCCCCCCCCATCGCAGAGCCGAGATTTACAAGTGTGTACCGGAGCATGGGACGGGGGGCAGGCGGGACAGCATCCCCTTCTTGTGGAGGGGGCGCCTTCCAGGTGAGCTCCTTGTGGAGGACTCGGGCCTTCACACCCATCCAGAGCAGTGTGGACAGTGAAGAGTAGTGCAGGGTGATGCCCACCTGCGGGTCAAAGCACCAAGGCTGGGGACCTGGGCTGCCACTACTGAGGTGTCCCATGCTTCCAGCCCCCAGCCCACAGCTCTTCCACTCTGCCCAGCCCATTCCCCAGTGTTCACCAAGCCTGTCCCTGCTGCTACCCCCTCCACTTCCACCCCAGGGTTCTCTCCCACTACAGGGATTCTCCAGAACCCTGTCACTGCTGTCTGGCTGGTCCTTGATCTCCCCTCCACTGCAAGTCCCCCGTCCGCACTGTGAAGCCCACCCCCAATTTTCTCTGACTTGGTTCTCACCACCCCTTACTCTCACTCCCCAAGCCCCCCGCCCTCCACGGCTGCCGCAGAGAGAGTGGAGCTAGGGCCTGTTAGCACGAGCCTCTCTTTTTCCCGTGTGTCGCCCTACTCTGTGCCTGGGCTGCCGTCACTAATCTCGAGGTCCTCTTGCCCCCCAGCTCCTTTCCCTGCTTACCGCCTGGCAGACCATCTGATAGTTGGTGAGCGTGATGCCCCCTGCAAAGACGGCGGAGGTCATGGCCATGTGGAAGCATAGGTTCAGCAGCATGTGCCAGCCCTTCTGGGACACGTGGATGGAGCTGCCCCAGAAAGAGACTTTGATTAATGGGTTGCCCAGCCCAAGGTTGGGCCCATGGGCTCTCGAGGCCACTGGGGGAGTCAGAGGAGGGAAGGAAGTTATCTCTGTGCGTGACTATTACAGAGGCCACAAGGAGGAAGTCCTTATCTCCCAGAATGTGTTTTCCAACCCCAGAACCTTCAAATGGGCCAGAGCCTGAGAAAGTCACGTGGACCCACCTGAGACAGAAACACTTGCAGTCCCCGGTAAGACCCAGAGCCTTCCCACCGTGCCCCCCTTCCTGCAGGAGCTCCCACCTGTGGTTGAGGATGTAGGTGATGATGGTGGTGAAGAGGCAGAGCAGGAGCAGGGCTGTGCAGGGGTACACGACAGGGTGCAGCCCCGCCCCTGCGTCCCCCACCTCCCTGGGGAAGGCACTCAGCTCCTGGGAAGGGGTGGGAAAGAGGATGTGAGTAAGGTGGAGACCTTGCCAGTCTCTGCCCAAGCCCCGCCCGCCTTGGTCCGAGCACTGGTGCTTAGGCCACCCAGGCAGGCACCAGGCAGTGGCCTCTGTCTACTGCCTGCCTCGTCCCTTCCTGCTGTCCTGCCTTTCTGGGGACTTTCCAGATTCCCCAGCCTGGAAAATCAGAATGAGGAAAGGGAGAAGGTTCTGGTACAGCTGTTCAGTATCTGGGGAGGAAGGATATGGAATGTGATGGGGGGGACTGGACAGTGGGTGAGGAGGATGACTAGAGACAGGAAAAATGCTCCCAGATTTTTTTCCACTTTAAGAATCTGAGTCTCAGAAAGCACAGGACGTGCAGGCCAGGCTGGGTAGTTCCAGACCAGTGTCGCTCGCTGTGGGAGCGGAGGCAGGGCCTCTCTGTCTCCCGAAGGGTGGAGAGGCGTGGGAGAGACAGAGGGCCTTTCCCCTGAGTCCGGCCAGACAGTCACGGGGCCCAATAAGGCTGTCCCCTGTATTTCCCTGAGGCCCCTGTGCTCAGAGCACCCCAGCCCACCGTCCACACGTGCCTCATTCCCTTGCCGCCCACCTCTCTGCCCCCAGTACACCCACCATGAGGACGGCCACATTGCCCAAGTGCTGGCAGTGCAGGGAGCTGACGTTGGGCTGGCTGGAGCGGAGCTGGCAGCCCTCGGAGCTCCAGCCCCCAGGCCCCTCCTGGCTCCACCAAGCTGCCACAGGCTCAGCCCCCTCCGCCCAGTGCCGCAGCGAGACAGCCACCGGCTCTGTCAGGTTTCCCGCACCACAGCCACCTACGGGGAGAGGGAAGGCCACACGGTGTGCGCAGGCGTCAGGAGGCCGGCTCACCCCTGTGGGCAGGCGCCGTGCTGGGCTTGGGGGATGTCACCAGATGCCGTGTACGCCTCAGTCTAACTGGGGGAGCGCCGGCGCCACGTCGGGAGGGCGGCAGTGGGCGCAGCAGGAAGAGGGGCCCTGAGCGGGCACGGCCGCCCGCTGCCCACACACGCCGGCCCTGCCCGTCCTGGGCTGGCTCCACGTGTCCTTCCAGCCCTGACAGAAGCCTCGGTTTCCAGGAAAGGCATCGTGGCCTTCCCCAGGTGAGCTGTGCCTCTACTGCGTGCTGCAGAACAGCTCGCGTGGCGGCCCTGGTTCGATGCCTGTCGTCTGTGCTGAAGCCGTCCTCAAGGACAAGGTCACAGGCGTCTGTACACAGGCGTGTCTCAGCCCCAGCACAGAGTCTGGCACGTGCCAGGTGTTCAGTGAATGTTCTGGGTCAAAGTGAGTGACCTGCTGGGAAGTGTATTCTAGGAACAGGAAGGGAACCCCGGGTTCTGGCCATGAGGAGGGGATGGAGTCACATCCCACAGGACCCACGGTGGCACGGGGAGGAAGATTCTGAGGATGGGAAACCACCGAAGGCTTCGAAGGGGCTCTCCGATGTGCACAGTGATGTTTTCAGAAGGCGCGTGTGCCGCCAGGGTGTGGGGACGGACTGAACATGGAGAGAGCCTGGCAAAGAGAAGTCCGGGGGGGCTGCGCAGGCAGGGACGGGGGTCCCCGGCAGGGCTGATTTCAGCTTGGATGGTGGGAGCAACGTGGACTCCCTGGCAGGAAAAAGGGATGTGTGGGGAGCTGGCGTCGGGGAAAGATGCCGCACGTAGCAGAGTGACGAGACCACAGAGCTGAGGGGGCTGCAGGGCGTCCACCTAGTGTCTGGGTGCCAGGCCCCCGCTAGCTGGCGAGTCCAGCGCTGTGTGTCCCGCCCTCCACCTCTGCTCACATTATTCCTCCCACCCCGGTCTCCACCCCCCGAGTGTCTGGAAGTCCTGATCGTCCCTCAAGGGCCATCCCTGATGGTCCCACCTGAGGCCACAAATGGTCAGAGCCATCTTGCCGTTTTAGAACACTTCTCACCTGGGCTGCCCATGAAAAATGTCCTGAAAGCCTCTTGGGACCTCTCTCTAAAGTTTCCCTGGGATGTCATTTATCCATTTTACTGCTCATGAGACGGTAGCCTCTGTGGGGGCAGCGACCACAGCCGATGCCACCACAGATGGTGTCAGTGTGCTTGCCTGCCTTGGGCTCTGTGTGGCACCGCGAGGACTGTGTGTGCTGCAGTGTTAGAGGGAGCGGGTTGAGGGCTGCGTGTACAGCCCTCTTGAAATCTGACAGATCTGCGATATGAAACCCGATGTCTTTGGAGCCTTTTCTCCACCAGTCCCTCCCTTCACATCTCTGTCGCCCACCCTCCCTGGGAAACGGTGAGGGCAAGGGCGGGGCAGGAGGAGGGGCCCGGGGCAGACACGCAGGAGGCGGCCGGGTGGCGCAGGGTGCAGGCCCTTACTGGTTCCCGCGGAGATGACGGGGCTGGCCACGCCGCGCCTCTTGCCGGGCCCGGCAGCTC